AGAAATGCTTGTAGCTTTAACAAATAGACTCCTCATGGAAGAGAAAAATTACGACAGGAAAAAACTAACAGAAGACCATGAATCATACCGTGCTACTCTTCACCCAGAACAGAAGCTTATATATGAATATGTCATTACGAGTTTAACAAGGAACGAACAAGTTTTAGCCTTTGTATATGGACACGGTGGCACTGGAAAAACCTTTCTATGGACAACAATAATTTATGCCCTACGTTCTCAAGGGAAGATTGTTCTAGCAGTTGCTGCATCGGGTATTGCATCATTATTACTCCCTTGCGGTAGAACTGCTCATTCACGTTTCAAAATACCGTTAGATCTTACTGATACTTCGTTGTGCAATATAAACAAAAACACACAACTTGCCCAACTACTAATAGAAACAACACTCATAGTATGGGACGAAGCGCCAATGAATGATCGCAGGTGTTTCGAATTGTTAGACAAAAGCCTCAAAGATCTAACGGGTTTTACTAATCAGCCATTCGGTCGCAAATCAATACTTCTAGGAGGGGATTTCCGCCAAACCCTGCCTGTTAAACGTAAAGCGTCAAAAACAGAAATCCTAAACTCTTCACTGCCGAGATCACATTTATGGAAATATTTCAAAGTTTACAAATTAACTGAAAACATGCGCTTACGAAGACCTGACATGGATAACACAACTACGCATGACGTGGAAACATTCTCACAATGGTTACTTGATGTTGGCAATGGAGAATTAGGCATCCCTGAAACTGACGGTCCATGAAATGCCAAGAAAATCGAAATACCGTCACAATACATCATACAACCACATGTTTCAGCAGTCGAAGAACTAATCGGATTCATTTATGACAATTTTACTCTTCAAAACCCAACGGTACTAAATCTTACCGAAAAAGCAATAATATGTCCAAAAAATGAAACTGCCCATGAAATAAATATGATGATTCTAAAGAAGACTCCTGGAAATAGCAAAACTTACCTAAGTACAGACTCAATAATCCCAAACGCCGGCTGCCATGGTGATCCCGGTTTACTCTATCCACCTGAATACTTAGACATGTTAAACTTCAATGGTATTCCACCACATCAACTGGAATTAAAGATCAATGCTCCCGTAATACTTATGCGTAACATCAGTCCAACTTCTGACCTATGCAATGGAACACGATTGATAATTACACACCTTTTATCAAGAGTCATTGAGGCACAGATAATGACTGGAACAGCAATAGGACGTCGAGTTTATATACCTCGCATCACTTTGACACATACAGATAATGAACTTCCGTTTACCTTAAAAAGGAAACAATTCCTAATAAAACTTTGCTACGCAATGACAATAAACAAGAGTCAAGGTCAATCGCTAAAAAAAATTGGCATCTATCTTCCACAACCTGTTTTTGGCCATGGTCAACTCTACGTAGCACTATCAAGAGCAACATCTCCACAATCTCTCAAAGTTCTAACTATTCCACAACCAAATGAACCTGCAAACTTAACCAGAAACATAGTTTATTCAAACTTTTTATCAGAAATAGATGGTACTTTAAACCATAATTAAACTACCTCTATACCATAACTTATGTCTATTGTCTTCACCTTTCTTCAGTACTCCTTTTTTTCACCATTTTCTTGCTTTCACAAGTTCACACTTCCAATTTTGGTCCTACTTCAGATTTTTGGCTTCTTATTCTACTCTTTTTATTATACTATGACTATGCCTTACAATTGAAAAGTTGATTATCCTACCGACTCTTTCAGGTATGTGAAACTTTAACGTTTTCCATGACAGATACTCCCAGATCTTACTAACCTATCGATGTAGATCTTTTTTTCAAAGCACTAAACATCATAAAGCAACCTGGAAGTATACATTTACAATTGTCAACTATTATTGACAGATTCAAAACTTGATGTCGATGGTTCTTAAGAATAAGGACTTATTATTTAATAAAATAAAACATTTCATGGAAAATAATCATTGCTAAATATCTGTTTTATGCTACTTACAGTTTTCCATTGATAATGTATCTTTCTAATTGTAGTGAACTTACTACATTTAATACAATAATATTACTATTTCCTACTGATCACTACTTTTTTCTCTATTTTCTATTTACAACCACATGTAAGCACTTTGCTTTTTTATCATATCTATATCAACATTTGTTGTTATTTACTTTTACATCATAACCATCTGATTAAAAGATCATTATTAATGTTGCATCATGTGTTTCGTACAGTGTAAAATGTATTGGATAGCAGACGTCAAACCCAACGAAGAACCCATACCACTGCAAATCAGGGTTATCAAAAAGTGGAAAGCACGCATAAGAGACAAAGAATTATGTTACCTGTTTGTAGACAGACATGTAAATATCCCATTATACATATATATATATATATATATATATATATATATATATATATATGTACCAAGTTTACTATGAATCTATTACAGGGAGACGCCATAGAGGCAACTGCAGACCCAAATAAAGAGCCGACTTTGAACTCGAAAGTGAAACAGAACCTATGTTATACCGTAACTGGATACCTAGCGATCCCAGCCCGAGGTTTCAGAAGAGTCGTCCAACATGAAACGTCTGTACGTCTTGGCGACACAGCCGATTTCGAACCTCTCTGTGACCCAGACATCCCCTACTACTTCTATGATTTTGCTACATACGAAATGCTTCCTATCAGAAAAATACACCCACAACCATTGGTTGGTAAGAACATGTACTCATGCTCTACAATTTCATTTGTCACACAAATACTAATAACAATTAATGTCAAAATCATTCGTTTATATACAGATTATATAGGTCGTGTTGAGACAGTGTCCCCTCCATTAATCCGATCAGGAAAGGCAATAAAAAAATAAAAATACAAGACCAATGGTCAGTAACCTCCAATTGCAGTATACCAAACGAAAATGATATTAACAAATTCACTTATATAACATCATATCTTACAACAGGGAAAAAATTATAGAAATCACTTTCTGGGATCAAACAGTTTTTCATATAAAAAAGATGAAGCTGTTGGAAAACTCCTAGCAGTTACCGCTACACTGGTAACAGAATATCAAAGTACATAACAATTGTTTTTGCTTATTTTACTTTCCTCAACAAACATTTACATTTCCTTACTTTAAGCAATTGCTTCTAACAGATAACTTGCAACTGGAATCCACAGAGGCAACATCTGCAGTTCTGAACCCACCAATCCCAAATTTACAAAGTTTCATTGAAAGGTAAACACATATCTTTTACCTAAATAAAATTTAAATATCATGCAACCACAAAATATAAAAGAACATATTTGGCCGACATAAAATATGTCCCTTTTTAATTGCAGATTCAATCAGCTGAAACAACCAAATATACAACAGAGTCAACCAATGCTTCCCATTCGTGAAATACTAAACAAGTTTAACGAAGATCCAACGGTATAAGTTGATTTATTAATATTTTTTTTACAACCTAACACTTCATTACTCCAATATTTTGAATAAAACATGTTTATTAAATGCAGCAAACCAGGTTTACTTGCACAGCAACCGTAACTGAAATCACATCGCACCGTATGTGGTATTATGTTACATGTCCACGTTGTCCAAAGAAGTTATTCCTACAAAAAGCTGCAACCCCACGATTCGTTTGTGAAGACCACGGCTATGTTCCCGAACCACTTTTCATGTAAATTGTACTTTTTACTAACAACACATACCATTGTAGCAATTGAAGTCTTAAAATCATCAGGTACTGCGTGAACGCAACAATTGCTGATGAAAGTTCAAATGCAAAGGCTATATTCTTCAATGAAGCGATCACACAAATGCTTTACAAAAATTGTCAAGACATGGTCATCACACATGGATATTCAGATCCCGACACCGTTCCTCCGGAAATACTTCATATCCGAGGTAAAAGAACAATCTTCGAGATTGCTATGAAAAGAGATGGCACAATGGCAATTAACAAAGTTGTACCACAACCAACACTCGAACCTGTCACACCGAATCCCAAATCAACAGCAAAAAAACAAGTGCATGTTTTGCAAGATATATATGCTTATTTTATAGCTTTCTACTTCACACTACATAAAACACTTACTGAAAATACCTTTCACGTATGTATAGAAGATGAGGCCATGCATAAACAAAAGAAAAGGTGACAGATAGGATATCAACTTTTTTGAGGCATACCAAAAGAGGCATTTTTGCAGGGAGAAGCAATACAGGATGGATATGTGCTCCTCAATCGTAAAACGCTAGAGGTTAAAAAATGAAAAGAGGCAGCACCTTTTGTATGTAAAAATGAAAGTAGTAACTTTTGTATATAAAAAGTTAGGATAACTACATCCTGGAATTGCAATCGACAAATGTAATACCTCCGCTAACTAAGTTTTTGTATATATTCAACATATTATTAACAAACGTACATACTTACTTTACATTTTATTTCTTACATATATTACTGCCGCCGCAACGCGCGGCGGGTAAAATCCTAGTTAATACTAAACCAAACTTGTTAAAGTTTAATGAATAATTAAAATTGTATAAATTCAAAGTTGAAAGGCCAATTATTACAAAGGAAACATTAATACAAAACCAAACTAGTTAAATTTTAATGAATAATCAAAATTGTATAAATTCAAAGTTGAAAGGCCAATTATTACAAAGGAAACATTAATACAAAACCAAACTTGTTAAATTTTAATGAATAATTAAAATTGTATAAATTCAAAGTTGAAGGACCAATTATTACAGAGGAAACATTAATACCAAAACCAAACTTGTTAAATTTTAATGAATAGCATAACACTTATTTCATGTTTTACTTTTTACCAACAATATTTTTAGTGTAACAAATGGTGTTAGGTTGAAGCAACTTCGCACCAAACTTGATGCAAAAAACTAGGATTTAGTGTTAGATTCTAAATGCCCTAATTTGAAAAACAATTGGCTTTTTTCTAGAATCCAAACAAGAAAAGTTATCAAATCCATAGATTAACTTCGTTTATAGAAACTAGTACATAAACTTTATGTCTACATAAGTTTGTTGAAATAAAACTAAAAATCTAGACATTTTAGCAAATTCCATAGCATAAGTCTAGAAAAAACAAACATATTTAGACTCCAATGGGTCTCTTAGCGTCTTCTTGAAGTGAGTATTCTTTCTTCATTTGTTCCAAAACATTATCATTCGTGCTGCAACCAAATCAACCATAATTAAGACCTAATTGCAGAAAAAGTAAACAACTTTAATGGGTTTGAAGAATGAACTTACAATTCATGAAGACAGTTATTCAGTTCTTTAGCTTGTTTACGACATGCCCATACGACAGAAAATGTTCTTCCTGAAGCACACTCAGCATATTTCGCAGTGTAATAATCACATTCCTTTAGTGCTTTTGCCTTCATTTTGCTTCGTAAAGCTGCAGATAATGAACAAGAAAGCATAGCTTAAAGAGAAATACAGAAAACCCAGATCGATTTATTGAATTGTGGAGATGATTTTGTAATGTTTCTTCTTAATTTGACAGCAATTCATATTAATTTGGAAAATGTTCGTCGTTCTGGTGGAATAGAGGGTGCCGATTGAAGATTATACGCGATGAGCGAAAGAACCCTAATTATGTTCCTAAATAGCTACTTGATGTGTGAATTTGACTTATTTCGTGGAAAATGTCATTGCAGGTTAAGAAATCGTGATACTCGAATTCGTAAAAACGCTTAGGATTCTTACATAAACCCGATAACATTCAACATATAAATTGGGAACAATTTAGAGATAATCATTAGTAATAGCAACAATCGTGAGTAGAATTGGGAAGTGATGGTGGTTTAGGGTTTATACCTTCTTCGACTTTCTTCTTCACGTGATTCTCTCTTGCTTCTTGGACGAAACCCATTTGTGTTAACGAAGATACACAAAGATCTAAAGAGAGGCTTCTAAAATCCCCTAATTGAATTGCTTCGTTCTTGATCAAGAGACGCTTCTCCAATTGGGGTTTTAGGGTGTGTTTTGCACGTGATATTGTTGTCGGATTTCAAGTTCTAAAATTATCAGATTTGCATTTTGGTATATAAAAGAACTTTTATTGTAAATTTATCAAAATTTTCTCATTTTGTTGTAGAGGGTCTCTTATACACATTTTTTTTTTAAACGGCAAATCTAACCTACTCCTAAATTACACCTTAAATCCACATATGTCCACGACGGAATTTGAACCCTCAACCTCAATGAGGGAGGTCTCTTAGACGCAGTGGTCCACAAAAGCTGCACTCATTTCACTGTTATTAGGTGACATGTTACACTGCTGGGTATGAGCAACGCCACAAGGGGCGTTATTGGACGTTATAACACGCAAACACCGCCCCCATTCCCCGTTATTAGGCGTTATACGCATGTGCGTTGCTCCCCGTTACCACCACCACCTTCCATTCACGCCGTTATTCTTCTTTTTCTTAATAACGTCGGTGTGGACGTTGCCCACACCTACCAGTCTTATTTTTTTGCCACAGAAGTGTGATTTCATGCCAAACACACATGGAGGAGTGGTGTCACACTCCTTTAACTATTTTTATTTTTAAATAAATAATTTTTTTAGTTTAATTAAAATCAAAAGATTTCATTAACTAAAAGTAAAAACCATTACATTACTTAAAAAAAATAACATGACATTAGAAAAAATCCTAGGAAATTAGAAATAAAAAACTAGAAAGTTTAAACCTACAACTTAAAAAAACACACATCAAATGATTAAAAACTTGGAAAAAAAAGCTCGAAATTAAAAACAACTAGTGTAATGTTTTTTGACGTCTTCCTTCATCACAAAAACAACTTGAAACACATCACCGTTCATATTCGACGTGTCCATCGGTAGCACTCTCAGGTCGCTGTTCCTTTGTTTCCGAGTCTCTCTATCCGAAGCAAGTTACAAAAATTTATCAATTCTATCTTTTATGCCTTGCACATTCTCGCCAATTTCTTTCAAGTCATTCGACTCCGACGCTTTGCCTTTGCATTTGCTTTTTGTTTTGTCCATTCCCATCTGTCGGGGGGGGGGGGGGGCTACACTTGAATGGGCTCATCATCGTTGAGGTTGAAACCAACACGAGCATCCGATGAAGTGTGATCGGATTCGGAAGTTCTTGACCGTTTTGATCCACTATCGTTGTGCTCGTCGATTGTTTTTTGATTTTGCCATTTTTTTGTTGCCTTTAAGTAGATTCCAAACTTGAAACTTAAAAGCTTTCTCCAAAATCACATCGTCACTTTCACTTCTTTTCCATTAGTGTTTCATGTTGTTATACAAATCGTTAAACAACATGACTTCTTTGTTCATCTTTCACCATTTCGAGTAGACTTGATGTTTAGAATGATATGGTCGTAGGTTCATTCCTTTGTGGAACCTAACTCTAACGCACATACAAAAACGATCATGTTTTTGGTCAGCTCCCATCTTCCCATCTTCTGAAACGTCAATTCATGATTGTGCAATACTAACATTTCTTGAGGTTCCCACATTTTAGATTCCACATTCTCTTTTCTTTTATTTCCTTGTTGAGAGGGTTGAGCTTGTGGAACAAATTCAGGTTCGGATTCAGAAATGAGTGTTCCTGGCTGTGATTGTGTTTGTGGAACAAACTCCAGTTGAGAATCAAAATCAAAAGAATCAAATATGGGTCGAATTGTGGTTGTGTTTGTGGAAGTGGTTGTGTGGGGCGTTGTGGTTGTTTGATATGTTGCGGAAAATAGGGAAGCATATCGCCATAGTGGTAGTAAGGGGGCAAATAAACCGGTTGATCGAGTGAAGGTAGTGGAGTGTGGTTTTTTTAGTGCGTGTTTTTTGGTTGGTAGGATTTTTGGAGGATGACATTTTTGTAGGTTTTAGAAAGAAGAAGATGGTAAAAAAATGAAGTTTTGTGAATTATTTTTTTAAAATGGTAATGTATTTATAATGTTAGTAAAATAAAAATAAATTTTGACCGTTTGCAACGGTAAGAAAATATAGCCAATCAAATTGGTCGGTGAAGTGCTCCCTCCCACAGCTGTAGTGCGGCCTCCGCCGCACCTCTACCTTTCCCAGGGAGCGGTGTTTTGTCCTACGTGGCACAAGACTGCGACCACGTCGCAGCCCGCTCCCCCGAGTCTTATCCATTTACAATTTACAATGATTAGAGGTGTACACTGAAACCAGATATCTGTAATTTAGGATGACAATTGTTTTATGTTCGGGTAACATATACTGGGTTCATGGGTAAGAAAATTCTACCCAAACACGACTCATATAAATCTTTGTGTTGTCTTAGTAAACCTAACTCGGAAAAACCAAACTCAGACTCAACCTATATAACTCATTTAATTATATGAGTTCGTGGGTCACATGTAAGAAGTCTAAATATTATACATTTGCTTATTACTCTTTGCTCTTTCTCCTTTATTTAATAATTCTATTTTTTTTATTTTGTTAATCTAATAAAATAATCGGATTCACATATCAACCAACAAAATTATATGTTAACCCGAACATAACCCATATAATAAACAAGTTGTTGGGTTTGAAAATTTTAACTCAAACTTGTTTATTTTCATGTCGTGTCGCGGGATGTGTCAACAATTGTCACCTCTATCTAGTATGAATCTTTAGAGTGAACAAAAACCGAACTACAAGTTGAAAAACCGAAAAATCTACACCCATAAACCGAAACGAAATAAATAACTTATGATTTTTAATTTTGTAAAAACCGAATATTTATGTCGTGGTACGGTTTTGCATTACATATTGCACCTAAAAAATGTATTTCACGCACTTTATGACCTTTTAAATATTTGAATAATATATTTTACGTATTTAATATTTGTATAATATGTTATTCTTTTCATGTTTTCTTTTCAATTACAATTTACTAAAGAGAAGCCAACGAGCGAGATTCTATTTTTAAATTTTAGTTTCAAAACATATATATATATATATATATATATATATATATATATATATATATATATATATATATATATATATATATATATATATATATATATAGGGAAAGTTCAATAGAGAACCATAATTATTGGTTCTTCAAAGAACCAATTTTTTTTTACAATTTCTAGAGCTTATTCTTTATCGAAAAAAAAATTTAAAAATATCTAAATTCATATATTAACATTGTGAATGTGAAAAATATTTTTCGGATTCACATGGTGAATTTTCAAAGATTCACATTGTGAATTTGACGTAAAAAAAAAAATTCGAATTTGATATCATTGGAAAAAGAATAAAAAGTTATGAATTTATGTATTTTTAGTTTTTTTTTTTGATAAAAAATAAGTTCTAAAAGTTGAAAAAAAGATTGGTTCTTTGGTTCATTATGGTTCTCTATTGAACCTCACCATATATATATATATATATATTATATATATCTATATATATATATATATATATATATATATATATATATATATATCTATATATATATATATAGGACTAGGTTAATATGTTTCTTATATTTATTGTGTGCTAGAATGCACCAATAGAAATTTAGTAAAATTAAATAATTATTTAATTAAATAAAGATAGATATTAAATGATTTTCATAATTGTACGTATATTACTAGGCGAATGCCCGCGCGTTGCGCAGAAACATCTATATAGCTGAAATATTTACAAAATATATGTTTTTTTTTAAATATAACACTAATGTTGTTATTAAATATGATATAATAATTTGTATACTTAGTTGATATAGTATATTGATTATTTTGAATTATATGATAATATATACATCTATTAAAACTGCATAATCTCAGTCTTTTGAATGACCTCTACCCGCGGGTTATTCATTAATAAAATTAAATATAATATATGGTTTAATGTTATTTATAGTTGTTGTTATTGTTAATTATTTTTTAAATTTTATTTGCTTCACGTTTTAATTTCTATCAATGTAATTATTTAAAACATCAAACAATTTTTTTTTGATTTTAAAGGTAACAATATAATCATTTATATAGAGTTTATTTTTAACTATTGTTATTGTAATTTATTTTAAGCTACTTATTTGAAAACTTTTAACGATTATAATGTTATATTTAAATTAACAATTTAAGTATTTTGTCCAAACTATTCAAAAGTTGTAGCTTTAAACTGATAATGGTTTACATACAACAAAATATTAAATCTAATAAATTAAGCATAATATGTTAAAAGTTAAAGACATAACTTTATAAGTAGAAGTAAAAATATTATTTTAATATTGAAATTTAGTTTATTTATGATTACACTTTAGGTTTGATACTTATTTAACCTTAACCAACTTATAATCATTATTAGAAAGACACCATAATTTATCACTTTTAACTATTTACAAAATATTCTTTAGGTTGTTTAAGTTGAACTACAAGTTATATTTAAGTTGATCCTGTAAAATTATATTTAAATTAACAATTTAAGTATTTTATAAAAAATATTCAAAAGTTGTAGCCTTAAAATGATAATTGTTTACATACAACATCATATTAGACCTAATAAATTAAGTATATAATATGTTAAATGTTAAAACCATAACTTTATAAGTAGAAGAAAATATATTCTTTTAATATTGAAATTTAGTTTATATATGATTACACTTTAGGTTTTATATTTATTTAACCTTATTAACCAACTTACAATCATTATTAGAAAGAAATTGAAAAGTCATGGGAGTTTCAAATGAATGTCATGGAGTTTCAAATGAATGTGGTGAAAGGAAAAATCAATGGGAGTTTCAAATGAATGTGGTGAAAGGAAAATGATTCCTTTATAAGTATACTAGACGAATTCTCGCGCGTTACGCAGCGAAGATTAAAAATATACTGTTAAAATATTGAAAAATATATGTTTAAAATGGTTATGTTATTGACATTAACTTTGAGATAATATTTTTACACTAATATATATATATATATATATATATATATATATATATATATATATATATATATATAATCTCAATTATTTTAAACAATAATATTCATTGACATGAACCCACATTCCTCATTAATAGAATTAAAT